ACAAATTGGCTGTGGTTACGGGGGCTCCCCCCTCATTGTAGTTGTGATTCACGCATTCACGTACAATTTTTTGACTTTTCACGCATTCACGCACGGCTCAATTGGTTTTCACGCTCACGCAAACAATAAATGTAATATCAGCTATTGCTCATCAGAGCCCTGTTTGAAGGACTACAACACAACTTTCAAACTTTGAATAGTAATTTGAGATTTAACTATTATTGGTTTATTATGCCCCCATTTGCGGCAATTTTTAATCTTAACTCAAAAAGGAATCTTAATTCACAAAACGCCGCATAATAAACGAGATTTTACGATTTCACGCACGAAAATATAGCCAATAACGCATCACGCAAAAATATTGGGGGGCCCCGTTACCGTGTTCACAAATTTCTGTGTCCAGGCACCGCGCAGCCATTAGGCTAGCAGGGGCTATAACCCCTCCACTTTTTGATATTGATTGTTGTGTAAAAATAATCATTGGACAGAAGAAAGTATCTTCTAAAACTTCCCGAAGTGCTAAAGGGCCTGGCCTAAAAACTTAAGTCACGCTCTTTTCAGCCCCCTCACTTTTAGGCTGGTACGCGGTGCCTGTCTGTGTCCCTCCATTTTTCGAATTATTCATAGGTCCTTCCAAGTCAGTGTGTCGTCTTTGGCAAGCAACGGCATGTTAAAAGCAGGTTTTATCATATTAGCATATGACTTTAACTTCGAGTATATTTTGTTTGTACTCAGGTTACAGGAAGAGGATTTCGTGTCTAATGCAAGTTCCTGCGATGAGATTACGTAAACTGTGAACTACTGTGCTGGAGAGCAGAGGTGTACTGTTCAGGTAAAAATGCGATTTTACTACCAACCGTAAAAATCAACCTGAAACGCCCCACAAATGTCTTTACCCAGAGGCCTTTGAAGATATTCTGTGTGGACTACAATTACTTTTGTAAGAGTAGATATGTATGTAAGTATAAGTATAGACTTTGCGGAAAAAGGCAACTTTGTTGAAGAATCCTGATAATAGTATTAGTCTTTCGAACACCATACGTAGTCCAAGCTAAAGAATACGACTCGCACAATATATCATCCTTGTCATTCAAAATGGTGCCATTTGTACTGCAAGATATCATCTTATGGGAAAAATAGGATGGTGAAGTTCCAATGTCATGTTGCCATTGTGATTGGTACCCTGACCTAATAATTCTGATCAGATAATTTGGATTCAACAGGGCAGCGCAATGAACAGTGATATAGCGATGCCTGTAGCTAAAATTTGATAAGCTTTTACAACGTAGTATGCTTTCAAACATTAAACAACGCAAACAAAAATGATTGCACGTGAAAAGAACTTCCTCGCGCAAAAGAAATGAAGCGTGCAAAGTTAACGACGTCATTCGGGCTTGGTGTATCATGACAAGAAATACCTGTGAGATCTAAAACTTCCAAAGGCTTGTGAGGGTGGCAGAATTAAGGAGTAAAAAAATTGGTGAAATAAGAAACGAAAGGTGGGGTTGGTTGGGGGTGAATCCATAGGATATTAGTTCGGACCACGCCTTTTGAAAGTATAATTGATTTCATCTGCGTGCGTCTTTGCAATGATCTTAGGCCCCTGGGCTGTACAGCATATCTTTACGAAATTTACTACTGTTGAGTGTAGTAATTTTACAGGAGAGCATTCATTAAGTACAAAGAACAGTGCCAAAATTGTCGGTGGATTTATTTGCGGTGAAAAAAGTCCATCATATTTTTTAAATTTCGGTGTAAATTTCGATGAACTTGAAAAATTTTGGTGGGAAGAAAAAATTTTGGTGAAAGAAATGAAATTCTTTCTGTTATTTCTATTTTCAATCTAAAATAATTTTCAATGCAATCATTAAAGTTACAAAAATCGATTGCTTTGATGTTTGTCCAGTAATGGAACTGAAGAGCAAGCAATAATGTTTATAAACTCATATTTAGAGTAGATCTTTTTTATTTTATTTTTTATAACCAATGGAGGAAGATTAATATGAGGGTATTAGAAATTCTGATCAATAGTGAGTTAGAAATTGAGGCGTCCTAATTGAAACCGCTGGAACGTTAAAAAGAAATAATTGGGAGAATATATGAACAGCTAGTAGAAGCATTAGTTCAGCCCAAAGAGAACTCTGATTTCTTGAATGTAGAAAGCGAAAGAGAAGAAGGAGAAGATAAGCTGGATATCTTATTTGTTGGTGTGCTGAAAATTGATATGTTGTGGATGTATAGTAATACTCAAACAACATCAAGGAAAAAATTCGTTTTTTTTAAAACATATCGGTGTTAAACGAGACTTTTCTAGCGTTTTAAAATTTCGGTAGAACAAATTTCGGTTCCAAAAAAATTCGGTGAGATTAATTTTCGATTGCCCTGCTTTATCGAAATTTTTGGCACTTAATGTATACTTAAATTCAATTTTTGTCATTTTAATGGGGTTTTATTAACTCTTTTCTGGCACGTAAAATTTGAGGAATATGCTAGAAAATGGTCAAATTTTGAAAAATAATTAAAAATGCAAATACAGGTGCAGGTTATTCATGCAGGATATGTCTATGAAGCTTGAAAAATAGAAAATAATTTAAATTTTAAAATAGGGCATTAAATAAAAAATTTGCGCTTGGGGGAGAGATATTGGACAAGCCCCCCAAAATTACTAGTTTTTTCTCTTGGCCTCCCAGTTCATCAGGGTCAATGCTGCATGGCTTTTAATTCAATTTTATACTTCAATATACATATATTTTTCAAATCATATCATACTTTAGCAGATTAATTAATTTTTAGGGGGGATATGGGCAGGGGAAATATGGGGGTTTTATGTTACAAGCGCTTTTTGTGTTAGAAATAATAGATATGTGATTTATAGATTAAAGAAGCCCTATAATCAATTTAAAGAACTGATATATTTGTGCTCTCTTTAAATTGTTACTTGTGACTTCAATTAAAGCTGGAGGACTCTAAAGTGAAAGAACTCTTGACTAAAAATAGTTAAATATAACTAAACAAAACAGAAGAAAAATCGTGAACGTCCATCATATAAACATAAATCTTCATCTGGGTCCTTTGTAGCCCTTTGAATGGTAAATTGAAAAACAGTTTCTTTTCTTCTTTACACATAAATGTACCTCACAACCACTGCATGTTATTTCGGATCTTCCTTGTTTGTCACCATAATGGGCACACACTTTGCAACGACCACGACTTTCGCTGAAAACCGGAAGGTGGGTAACTCCAGATGGAAACATAGAAACATTCCCTACAGCTGCTGGAGGGGCTTCACCACTTTCTATTTCAGCCAGTTGTCTTATGACTGCCTGTCTGTAGCTTAACTGGTCATAGTCTTTATTTCTTTGCAAGTCTGATCTCTCAGGGTGGGATTTACAAAATTTCTCGAACAGGATATACCAGTTGACTATTGCAATATCCAGCAAATGAAAGAAAAAAACTTTCCAATATTTTTTAACCTTTCTTAAAACATTGTAAGAACCAATGAGTTGATCTGATTGGTCAACACCTTTCATATTTTTGTTATAATCTTCTATTGCCTTTGGCTGGAGAAATTCTTTTACTTCAAATACACCAGTCTTTGAATCTTTCTGTCTTCTTTTGCAAGTGGATGTCTCAGATCCTGAATGAATGGTTGACAACAGAGTCACTAAGGCATTGTCCTTCCATTGCTGTATCAGAACATCATTCTCTTCTCTCATCCATCTCTGGTGCCCTCTTTGTGCCTTCTTTGACCACATCTTTCGGTCTTTCAATACTTTTGGAAAATATTTTCTATTTCCTGCAGTCACCCCACAGCCTAGTATTCCTCTATTTTTTAACTCACAGAGCAAGGGAATAGAGGTATAGAAGTTATCTGTATATACTCTATAGCCTTGCCCTGTTAGATCAGCCATCAGCCCAACAACCACATCATATCCAATACCCATTGCAGATGGTTTTGTACCGCGTTTTCCAAGATATACATCAAATGCATAAGTATAGCCAGTTTTTGAATCTGCGAGTACAAAAAATTTGATCCCCCATTTTGTTGGTTTGTCTTTATTATATTGCCTGATGCCTGACCTATGTTTTGATTTCACCATTCTTTCATCAATAGCCACTTCTCTATCACACTGAAACAATTCTCTGCATTTATTCTGGATATGTTCATAAATGTATCGAACTTGCCTTAGCTTGTCATTCTTATTCTCTCCAGCTGGGTCATTACCACGAAAGAAAGCCATGATGGCTCTAAATCTCTTCCTAGAAGGAACAAGTCTTTTAGCCCAGGAACCAGAATATAATGTGGCAGATGACCAGTATAAATCCTGTCTTTTTAGGTCAACCAGACCCATGAAAATTAGGCAAGCGATAAAATTTTTGAATTCCCCAACAGAGACCTCTGACCACCCAGATTCAGAATTTTGATAAGACCTGTTTGCTGCAATGTGGGCTGATGCATATTTGTTGGTAAATGAACACAGCATTCCAATCAATTCTTCTGTAAAAAATAACATGAAGAAGGACAGTTCATTTGCAAGCATGGATAATCTTCCTGCACGGGTCCTTGCGTCAACTTGAATACCTGGCACTCTATTTGGCATGAATTTTAATTCTGGAACATAATTATCTTCAGTTGGATAACCTTCTTTCCAGTCTGAATCAGCTAATGTTGTTGAGCTTGAGGCTGCTTGCCTTACTGGAGATGAAGTTTTCCTTCTGGCTATGAGCCTTCGTTGTTTTTTCAAAGGAGGCTTCTTTTTGGAAGAAACTGAAAGCTCATCCTCCCTATCTTCATCAGAGCTGTCTTCGTTGTCGTTTGGTCGCGGCCTACTGACAACATCAGAGCTAGCGGAGCTACTTTCACTTAGATCCCCGTCTGAAT